ATCCAAGCCATGCATGGAAAAATGTAATATTAAACATATATAGTTTTTTTGATTAATTTAAATTAAAATTCTAATTATCATATATTTTATGCAATCGAACATCAGTATACAAATCATATAGTTTTTTTGTAGCAATTTTGATTTATCAAATAATTACGAAATTACGAAGCGTTGCATTTGCATATCACCAGATCAATTTTACTTTCAAAATTATAATATATTTTATGCAATCGAACATCAGTATACGAATATTTTTTTTATGCATCATGCGTACGTCTGAGTATATTTTTTTTCAAAGGTCCGTCCGTCCGTCCGATTTTGTACTACCGTACAGTACTACTTTACTATATACTCGTACGTCTGAGTATATTTTTTTTCAAAGGTCCGTCCGTCCGTCCGATTTTGTACTACCGTACAGTACTACTTTACTATATACTCAACCTAAGTGGGTTCTAAATCCAATTTCGACGTACGTATGACATATCTGATAATGGTAAACTATTTAGTTTTATTATTTGAGCTTGTTTTTTTTTACTCGTATAACATTATTTTACCAAAAAAAGCATTTAATTTATCATTATATCGATATGACTAAATTATAACAATAAAGAAAATAAAAATAACGTTATCGCTTACTACGTACGTAAGTACGTACGTACGTATTTGAATGCTGACAAATGAAGGCAAGAAAGTCTAAATATAGATTACTAAGATTACTACATATAAAATTTAATATTATTCTATATTTAGTCTTCCCGATACCTACGTACTGTACGTACGCGTGTACCAGGTACATACGCACGTACTGCAGTACTGTACATAGCAATGCTTAATTACAAAATTTTGCATAGCGATACGTAGGATACTAGGATACATAGTATACACAGGATACACAGGATACTAGGATACGTACATAGGATACGTAGAATACGTACGTACGTAGGATACATAGGACACGTAGAATACGTACGTAGCAGTTAACAAGAGAGCAGAAATATAAAATTTAGATAATATATAGATATGTATAATTTATTAACATTGTATTAAAAAACACTACAAGTCTATTTATTATAGAAATATAGCGAATTATATGACAATGTATATAATTTTCTTTTTTTTGAATTATTTTTCCAATGCTTTTTTACAAGAGCATATAACAATATGAAATAAAAAAAAATAAATATAAAAAAGTAATAAGAAAAAACAATCAAATTTACAAAAAGAAATAAATATTCCTTAACAAATATAACTACAACGAATTTCGTTTTAGTCTACAAAATAGATCTCATTTACAATTTAAATGTGAAAAAAAAACCCCGAATCAGAAAAGTAGAAAACCTAATAATTTCATAAAAAAAAAAAAAATCCTAATTTTGTTAGTGAACAACTTAAGAAAACAGAAAACCCTTATATAATTTTTATAATTTAATAAAAAATTATTATTATTATTATTATATTTTTTGTGGATGAATGATTTCATTCTTTTACTTTCTGATTCTCCTGTACAAGCATCATTGGTTTCAAATAAGGATCATCCTTCTTTTCACCATCTTTTGAACCAAAACCCCAGAGACTGAATCGTTTTCCATTTCTAAAACCAGTTGAATTTCTTCGTGATCGTTTAGATAAATCAGCTAATTGAACAGTTTCATTATCCTTAGGTTTTGGTAATTCAGGCTCTTCAGCAATATTTTCTTGTATTACAGGTTTGAGATTATTTTGAGGCTGGGAAGCACTTCGGAGGTGAAAACTAGAAAAGGTTTTTCGCCTTTCCATTTTCTTTTTAACGGGCTCCTGACTCAAATTAAACGAACCTGTTGTTGGCGAAGTAGGCGAAGAAGCCGCCTTTTTTGCTGACCACTCATTAGATAAAATTTCTTCAAAACCTTTGGCTTCCATAATACGATTGAGAATCTTTTGAATATAAAGGGACATTGATTTGTTTGAATCTTTGAGTAATTTAATTTCATCTTGCAATTCTATAAAAAAAGAATATATATGATTATTATTATTATTATTTGATTAGATTATTAAAATGAAATTTGAAAAATGAAATGAAATACGCACTCTCAATAATAGTGTGGTCACTCTCTTTATGCACACGTTCGCCTTGAAGAAAATCGCTAAGCTCAGATGCACGATTTAATTCAGCTTCTAAATCTATGGCAAGTGATTTTGATTCGATAGAAATATCTTCTTCGACTGATTTGCCATCTTCTTTGTTTGTGCGATTCGTCTCTTTTTCTGAAATATGGGTATGTTTTGTATTTCTCTGTTATTTATTTATTATTTATTTATTTTGTTATTTAGTTATTTAATTATTGGGTTGTTTAATTATTTGGTTGTTTAATTATTTAGTTGTTTAATTATTTGGTTGTTTAATTATTTAGTTGTTTAATTATTTAATTATTTAATTATTTAATTATTTAGTTATTTAATTATTGTTATTTGGTTATTTAATTATTTAAGAAATAATAGATTAATTAATATATTCAGGTAATAAAAAAATTGAAAAACAAGTTTGGAATAAATTTATTTACCTGCATGATAGGATTTAACATAAATTCACCTCTCATGGTCTTTTCATGCAACAATAATTGATACCCTTCATTCTCTTCCATTAATGTTTGATTCATATGTTTAACTTGACCAAGCTCATTTTCTAAATGATGAATCCTAGCGACATGGTTCTTGTTTATATTCATTGAATCGGTATGTGCACGTTTAACATTTTCAATTTCTGTTGTCAATTCATTAACACGTCTTTCAAGCTCTTTAATGGTTCGTTGAGCAGTCCTAGCCTCACGGGCAGCGCTATAATGTGAAGGTGTACCTGTAGTGGGAGTTAATGGAGGACTGTCTTCTATATATACAAAAAGATGGTTAATAAAGATTAATTTAGTAAAAAATCAATTTTTAAACTTATAAATTTAATATTTAGATCATAAATATTATACCATCATTAGAACTTGAATTTTTCTTTTGTGAAGCTTCATATTGTTGTGCGAGAACATTGATTGTTTCTTGAAGAGCTTTAACTTGACCAGTCAATTCGGATTCACGCATTTGCCATCCAGCTCGATCTTTTTCAAAGGCTTGCGTCTAAATACAATTGTAATAATGATAATATTTATGTAAATCAATTTTGTATTAAAAACGATGATAAAATTGTAATAAATAAATTGTAATATACCTCCTCTCTTAATTTCCTTTCTACTTCACGCTTATTTTTCAAAAAGCTGACATTCTCCTTTTTTAGCCTTTCCACTTCTTGTCCTTGTTGATAAAGTTCGGATTCAATTCGTGCATATTCATTATGATGGTTTGTAATTTCTTGTTGAAAAGAAGAATTCTTTTTACGGAGAAAATTATTATCATCCGTTAATGTAGAATTTTCTTTATTGGCGCGTTCAAGTTGTTCACAAATCTATTTTTATATAAAGAATATAAAAATAAAAAGTTAATTTTAGGTCAATATTTAAAATTACATTTTAAGTGTGAATCTCGGTCGAAACCGGTGTCAGCCTCGATTTACCGGCTTATTCAAGTCTTCTTTATATAAAAGAAACTTACTGAAGCATGAATATTTTGAAGGTTTTCTACTTCTTTTCGTAGCGAAGCTAATTCTCTGTCAGGGGACATTTTGTTTTTGAACCAGGGTTACGAATAAATTTACTGGTAGACGTGTCGTTTTTAATTTTTTTTAAGTACGTAGGTAGAGTAAGTAGATGTAGATGGAAAAAATGTTTCTTAATTTAAAAGGTGAAAGTTAAAATGAGATTTAAAACGAGAAATTCGTATAATAATTTTTTTCGAGTTGTTTCATATAAAGTTAAAATCATACAAGTTAATGAAGTTAATGAAGTTAATGAAGAAAGAATATATATAAAATTGTCGAGAAGTCGTTTCTAAAAAACTCGATTATAAATATTGCATAACAGCCGAAAAAAAAAAACGGCAAAAGTATTTTCGTGAAAGAAATAGTTTGAAGTAAAGTGAAGTTAGAAGTGTCGTCTCAAAGTCATAAAAATAAAAAAATGGTTCAAACTGATATAGTAAATAAAGCTAAGACTGAAACTTCGGCTTTTGCAGTTAGCATGCAGAAAAACCGTGCAAAACTAGCGGATAGTTTTATTCGTTACTGCTTTATACAGATCGTTACAAGTTGTTTTTATTGGTGTTCTTAATATAAATTTTATTGATTTGCCCTTTCGTCAAAGAAGGGTTAGAAAAGAAAACCCTCCCTCTTTTTTTTTTTTTCGTAACAAAGAAGAGAAAATCGAGAGAATAAAACAACGAACGATAAAGCACCTAAACTCGGTACTAAAATCAACAAAAATCAAATAGAAATTTAGGAGCACGTATTTATAAAATTGGTATTTTTGACAATAGGTTATTAAATAATAAAGAATAATAAATTGATTCGCAAAAATAAATTTTCTGTCGTGTTCAGTTTGAGCATCGTTCGAATTCCAATAAATGGAATATTTTCATCGTATCACTTCCTTGAAAAGTAGAATGCAATTTGTCCAACACCCAAAGAGGAACTACTGACAACGTTTTTTATTCATGCAAAATTGAACGGTCTCCTCCGCATGCGAGCACCATGCACTTCCACGTAGCACGTCGTGTTATGCGTCCCTCCGTTTTTCAGCATATTTAGAAATAAATAATTTTTGATTAATTTATTGATTGGTTCAATGAAACTATATCTATGTATCAGTTAGTATCAGTTTTGTGTTTTATTACTACCAACATTTACTTATTCTAAGCGAACAGACCGAGTACCCAGAATGGATCCAGCATGTCAAACTGTTATTGTTGAATTATTTGTTTTTGTGTAAATAAAATATTTCATTAATTCCGAATTTGACGTGCATTTATAATTACCGTTACGTATATTTTCAAAATAATCATTGAATATTTGAATATCGTTTAGTTATTGGATTGAGTTTATTTCATCGTCATGATTCTTACCGTTTCTTTCCTCTTTTAATATCTTTTTAATACTTTTTATGGTATAGTCATTATAAATGCTATTTGCTAAACATGTGCAATTACATTATTCTTTTCAATTTCTTTAATTTCTTTTAATTCCTTTTAATTCCTTTTAATTTCTTTTATATTTATTGTTCTTCAATTTGGAAAAAAGATACTATATAAAGCTAATATAAATTTGAACTTATTCAAAATATCATAAAAGATTTATTTATCTTACATTTTGAGAATCCTAGTGTTGCCGGCGTTTCGCTAAAGATTCCTCTTGTTTTTCTTCTCCTTCATTCACCATAGTTATGGATCTTTTGTGTTGGAATGACTGTCCAGATTCCCAGCCATCAATTTTTAATTTTTCTAATTGATACTTGGTTTCTAAAGTAGTATGTCGAACTCGGATATCTTCAAAATTGGTAGGTATTTTAATATCTTCTATTAAATTTTGAAATAATATCGGATTCAAATATATATTTTCTAAAATAATGATTTATATTAGAATAGATTAAGAGTAAACATGCCAATTATTCTTTAGGATAGTTATATATATATATTTTTTTTACCAGCACTAATCTTATACATTGCCTTCAAAACATCTTTTACTGCATTTAATTCCACTAGTCCGGGTTTTTCAAGTATCGTATTAAGTGTATAAATAATACGCATTTCAGATTTTTTGGTAATATGACGCTGAAATCGATCCACCAAAACATCCCGCAAGCTTTCCCGAAGGGTATATTGTATATATGTTTTATCCTGTCAAGCAAAGTAAGAACGTTGCTTGATGATTGGCCAGAGAATATTCAAAAAAAATTTTTTTCAGTTTTACTTAATTATCATGCAAAAATACTTAAATACCAGGTAAGCAAAGACACTCCCCAAAATTTCTGTAGCTTTTGCATGGTTAACACTTATTTGTCGAAAATTCGAGAACCATGTGTCAATTTTCTTATCATTTTCTAATTGATTTCCAAGTGTTTCTAAAGTTTTTTCAATCACCGAGGTCAAATCTGAATAAAGTCGTTTTTGAAAACCTTGCCAACACATCCAATATATACTTCTATTATAATCATGATATTTAGTGATTTAGAGTGTTTTGGTGAAGGAAAAATTTTCATAACTTGACTACGACTTCAATGCAAACCTATAAAGTTCTTCATGAGAGTAAGTATGCAAAGGTCTTTCTATCTGTAACTTCGCTTGAAGTGCATTCTGGACAAAACCCGAAATTTGAGGCCAGAAAGTTGTCTCATATGTACATTCAGTAACTTGAACTCAAAAAAATTTGTGCAAAAAATCATGACGTGTTCTTTGTCAACAGCACTGACTTTTTTTGTTTTGGAAAAAATGCTCTAAAATTCTTTCACTTTTTTTCTCACCTGGATTCATGCCAAAGTTTGGTCCAAATGGTGTTGAAGTTATGGTTTTACTTTGAGTCTGAGGCTCACTACCATCTGTCATAATTATGTCCATCGTAACTCAAAATAAAGTTCTCTTGGATCTTGTTAGACCATAAGACCCAACGCGAAATTACAATACGTGTTACGTTACTTTTCATTTTTTGTACGTACGTACACCGGTGCACGTGACCATATTCATTGTTAATACTGTAATAGCGATAGTGTTAATAGTTTATCGTTATACGAACACACATTTGTACAATAATCAAACGCATACGTATGATTAACGTTAAGTCTATCGAAACTCTATTGTTGTACAAATTATTTACAAATCCCAAAATGGTTTCATAATTAAAACACACGAAGGGGGTGATTTCAAAAATTTTTCGGTTACCTTTTTGACTTTCGATTCAATTTTCACCCTCTGTCGCTATTACCTTAAATTTTTTGGGTACAAAAATGTTTTCATACAAGTCATATAAGTGTCTACAATGTGCATTATTTTCATTATTTTTTATGAACAAATCGGCATCTATTTATTGTCTATTTTTGATTTATTCATTGTTGATATCAGAATTCGTTTTAATGGTTGTTCTATTTTTGGTAATTTCTCGAAATGCTTGGAAAAATGCTTAGAATGATGCCTACGTATAAATTTGAAACAAAAATGTTTGAGTGTAACTGCGATATGAAATCATTTCTTAACATTGATCTGTCAAAACCGTTAATCGATCAAAAATTTGATTCTCCATGTCTGTTTTTATAACTGTATAAAACTCATTATATTTATTATAAAAATAAAAAAATATATTTGATTCATCTAATTTGTATTAGCGTTTTCAAATACGTAATTTAATCACAAAATAATTTTTTTCAAATTTGATTAAATAAGTACGTACAAGATATTTTTAATTAAAATAAAATTTTTATTAAATATATATTTAATATAATCATTTATATTATAAATATTTAATATAATCATTTATACGTATCATAAAGTGTATGATTTTATTAAAAAAAAAAATACAATTACGGGGTGTTTCCTTGTAACATTTTGGTATAAGCTATTGACTTTTCTAATTCTAGTTACTAGTTCTAACCCTAATATTATTTTACGTAATAAAAATTGGTTTGATTTATATACCCAGGTTTCAAACACTCCGTGTATATTTAGTAATTTTCTAAAAAATAGTTTTTACGAACTACCCCACCAAAAAGTACGGACACGTGACATGCTGTGGCGAAACCAATCATGCCAACTCCACCAAGAGTTTAGATACTTTTGCAATAACAGAATGTGGCGCATTGTAGCATATTCGAATAAGCTTTTTTGGCTTTGTGTTATGTTTTCCACTATTTTTTGAGTATTTTTGTTTTTTTTCTTATATACAGGTTTTGTTTTAATATTAGGTAAACTCTTAATAGGGTCAATTATAACTGCAAAAGTTTTACTTTTGATAAATCAGTAGTTTTTTATATTTTGAAACTAGCCTCTTTGGCTTATTAATTTTATTAGTATATTGAGTTACTAGTGTTTCTAGAAATTCTGCATATATTACAGTTAAACCTCTCTACAGCCACACCTTTGGGATACAAAAGTCTGTGATTATAAAAAGATATAACTAATATAGAGATATGTTCTATATAGTTATAAATAATTGGTAAAAAATAAATTTGTAATTATATTAATTTTGTAACTATAAAGAAGGTAACTATAGAGAAGTTTAACAGTATATTTTAATAAAAATATATATCTATACTATTAAAATTATAAATGCTTGTTTGTTTATATATTTTAAACAATCTACAGTACTATAATTAGCTAATTTTAGGTTTTATAATCTGATCCTTTTTGTATAACAAATCAATTTGCTGATAACTATCACTATTGAGTTTTAGTGAATACTTATTAAGTATTCGAGTTTATAAATATTTATTATTACTATTATTACATTTTATTCATAATAATTTTGCATAAATATAAAGGATATTTATATTAATTTAAGTATAGAATTTATTTTTTTATTTATTTTTTTTATTTTTATTTTTTTATTTAGACAAGACATATCAGTAATTAATATTTATATAAGTATGCTCCTATACTATATATAGTTTTACTACTAAATCTATAACTATAATATTCTGCAGTTGCTTTAATTGGTGATTCGCCAGTCAGCCAGCGAGAGGTCATAGTGTAACGTTGGGGGTGCGATCAACCGATAAAATCAAAATTATGTATAGATGTATATC